CCCCCCACCCCTTCAAGAGCATTTGATAAAAAATCCTACCCTTTCTACTCGTACTGCCAACGTTTTAACTTTCAAGAGAATATTGAATAGCTTTGAGAAAGGTGGTTGGAGGTCTTTTCTCCCTTACCTTACAAAACACAAGTTACATTTGACAACACTAACGTACCCGTTTCTAACCAACATAACCTTCGTCAAGCACTTTTCTTCAGCAGCCACCCAAACAAAAAACTTCATTTTAGAGGGGGCTAAACCACCCCAAACTAATTGAGTGGGGAAGGAGCCTAGGGTGGAGGGCTCCAAAAAACAACAAAAAAATTTCACTTAAAGAATTCAAACTTTGACCAACCTCATCAACGTTGAGGAAATGAGATAATGAGACCTCTGGTGGCGACTCTGGTTGGTGACGACTTGGTGGTAATTGAGAGATCTGAAAACCCAACAAGTATCTTTGCTGCTGGCTATTCAGACGCATAGCCTTGTCATCGTTTTGGTGGTTTTCTGAACACATGACCTGCCAGCCAGCTAATGAAAACCTATCAAGTAGTTTTGTTGCCCAATATGCCACCGATTTAGCGGTTTGCCTGCTGAAAAACTCAAATCAAATTATGGATTGCAGCTAAGTTCTAGATGAATGGTTGAACTTTCCTACAAAATATTTCATCTATATAATGACAGATTTTTAAGTCACTTTCCTACAAAATACAGTTCCAATTAATGGTTGAACTTAAATCACTAAATAGATTATTTATCAATGCCCATTTGATCAGGCTTCTGCGTAATGCGTACTTATATAATGACTTTAATCAAATGATCAGAATTGGTTTTGATTTTGGGTCTTAGAATAAAGGGATAAACAGTGTTGGATTTGGGTGATCTTAATATCGTTAGATTTGGATTTTTGGGTTTTATGTATCTATGATTTTGGATTTCTGATTTGATAGAAATGAGGTTCAAGATCAATATGATCCTGATAGAAATGAGGTTCAAGATCAATATGATCCTGATCGAATGATCGGAATCAGTTTTGACTTCGGGTGTTAATATGAAGGGGTAAACGGTGTTGGATTTGGGTCTTGGTGTCGTTAGATTTGGATTTTTACCCTTTACATACTTTTGGTTGTGGATTTCTGATTTAGATCAACAGTTTGAACGGATGGTCTGTTTTGATAAAAAAATTAAAAATAATAATTAAAAAACAACCAAAAACTGTTGAACAAGGCAATGGATCAATTGCCTAGGTCAATGAGTCATTGACTAATTCAACACTTTTGACTAAAGACCAAGTTTAGAGTAAAAACAGAATCAATTACCTGGACGATTCCTAAACCGAATGGTCCAACCGTCCGGGTTAACGGGGTTAAAAAAACATTGGCGAGTGTAGCTAGAGTCCAGTGCTTTGAAAATGATTAAGATATTTGGAATATCATCGATCATACATGCATTCTCTACCGAATTTGGGCCACTTCCTTCCCTACATAGCACCACTGGGCAGTAGCCACTGCCACCTAAGCTGACTTATCTTACATTACTGAGAACCCTTTATAGCAAATTAAGCCTTAGTAAAGGAAAAATAACATGAATCCACACATCCATATATATATACAACTCCATAAGCCAACCATGCAATATCTACTACAAACTTAGTGGGTTCCTTATTTATACATGTTAATGAGAATAGTGGTGGTTCCTTATTTATGATGGAGGGGAAAGGCCCAAAGGAGATTGCAGAGAGAAAGTCTCCTTGCTACTAGGCAAGTTTTAAAAGTCAATATTGCCAATAAGGACATGATGTGGTAATGATGTGAATTTTCTATAATAGATATCAGTACTGAAAACATATATGAAATATTGATACCAAACAGAAGGTATTGTTGTTGCCCCAAGAAATGTTCTATTTAACAAAAACGTTTCCAAAAAAAAACTGTTTTTTTCAATCTGACACATAAACAGCATATTTTCGTGCTATATATGCAACATCAATGTCAAACATATACTAAAGTGCGTTATAATATTAAAATTGGCACCTATATTTATAGGCCTATTGGATGCAGTACAAGCTTCATGGGAACAGAGCTATAGCCCATAACTTTATTTTTCAACAAAATAAGCTCTAGAAGGATACGCTTTTGACCATGCTTATTTATAATTCACCTAGCTAGTCTTATCCAAGATTTTTAGGCCAAATAAATTGGTCGGTGATGGGCCCCTTCCAGGCATGGATTCAGTCAGACATGGGACCAGACCAAAACTAGCCCATTAGCCTCATCAAACTACGGATGAAGAGGGGCTGACCAGATCAAATCAGTCCCATTGTCCCACATTGAGAAAGTTGTCTTAAAACAGTGGATTTGCTTTAGTTCTTGCTTTTGATATGAGGACCTCTTAGGTGTAAGTTATGACCCCATCAAATAGTGGTGTCCATGTGCTCCACGTTCACGCTGATACAAAAATCAGCAGACCAACCGTGGTGTCTACTTCAGATGAGGCCCATAGTCCTTGTATTTCTCTCCCATAAAGAGAAAGATCACCCAGAAAAAGGATAGATACATAGTGGCCATTAATTGCTAGCTGACGGTAGGTTATGGTTAGAGAATAAAGCTGTTCCGCCGCTTGCCCCAGTTGAAGAAGAATCAGCCAAGTCTGAGTCCTTACGCTTTGATTTTTTTTCGTTTTATATCTTCCCATCCTTGAAAAGCTCTAAACTATACAAAAGCAAAGAATTAAAAAAAGGTGACCAAAACATATAATAACCCTTATGCATTCCACGTCCCAAAGTGGATAGCTTTCTCCTCATCCAATAAATATATAATAACCCTTTATCCTCACTAATAATCTCTATAACAATGAAGCAAAAATAACATAAAATTACTCAACGACATATAATTACAGAATAGATAGGGACAGTGTTCTGCGGCCCTTCCCACACCTCTCGATTTTGCCGTATAAGATAAATAAGAGAATCTTCATTAGCTTATTCACTAGGCTGTGTGCATGTTTCTGTCCCATCTTTACCGACAATTGGCGCATTTGATGATCGATCAAGACAATGTTGTCACAAATAATGGGTTATAGATCTCCTTTGGGTATTTTGTCGAACAGTACTTGTACCCCTCGAATGACTGATTATTTGGAGTTTGGATTCTCATCATTTTGCATCTATAAAGTGTAAAACAAGATATACAAGAAAATCCCATCATCAATTCCCTTGCCTAGAGTGAGAATGGTCTTCTCATTAAAACTTGGAAGGTCATGAGTAGATGTACAAATATCCAACATCCCAAACTTCCAAATCCCTTGTTTGTTGCCTGCTTCATAAATAATGCCATTTAAGAAAGAATTAGACAACTGATAATGATAATTAATTCATTCTGAAACAACATATAATTGCATTAATTAATTCTTAATTTACAATATATATATATATATATATATATATATATATAATATATAAATCGTGGTCTTACCCGAGTGTTAGCTGCAGAGGAAGTGAGGGAAATGGTAGCTGAAGAAGTTGATGAAGTACTACTCGCCAATGCAGAAAGGCCAACATTGTAAGTCATGGTTCCATCTGGTTGATAGAGACCATAGTTCCTCTCTGATGTTGGACCAGGCTTCATGTCCTCATTAAACAAAGCAAACAAATAAACTTCTAGCCTCTGACTAGGTCTCAAAGGGGTGCCCTCATTCCCCAACTGTCTTCTCAATAAATTCCTGTTATAAACCTCAGCATTTTCCATAGTTGCACCAACCTCATCTGGATCTCCTTTTGATGGCCACCCAGTCTCAGAAACTCTAATTTCCAACCCACCATAACCCATCCTAGAGACAGCAAAAACAACTGCATCTACCTGTGCATAGAGCATGTTGTCATAGCTTAGCTTGGTGTTTGGGTCAACCATTCCTGGATTAGGGTTGAAAAGCGCATAGTCCAGAGAAACCCTGAATGGGTCATCCTTGTAAGAAAGGTATGGGTAAGCATTGATCCAAAAGGGTGCTCTTGTTCTAGCCAAGAACTGCAAGTATTGGCTCATGACACCAACCAGATCATCTCGGAAGCTCCCGGCCGAAGGTGGGTATGAGTTGGCGAGAACCGCAAGAGAATTTGCAGTTGAGACCTGGATATATTGGTCGAGACCCAGTTGAACAAGTGCTCCATGTATGTTGATCATTGCAGGAACCAAGTTCGCCATTAATGTCGGATCATCGCTTGTGAAGACCTCATTCCCAACAGCAATGCCACTGATCCTTGTTGCAGGAAAATAAGGTCTAATGCGTGTAGCCACCCATTGGAGGGCCTGATGTGGATCGATTAGAACGTCAAGAATCTCATTCTCTGCAGTCACCATGAGATCGATGCCCGAGTTTGCAAATGATGTCAGGACTTGGGGATTGGTGTCATAGATCCTTGCTTTGCTGATCCTAAGGGATCTTAAAAGCGCAAGCACCTTCCCTGGCGAGGGTAGATTGTTTCCAACTTGACCGTAGTTGATACCCAGTGCTGAGACTCCTCGTTGGAAGCCAAGACCTGTAACATTACTCAATATCAGAAGAGCAAATTCACCATTGCAGACTAGAGATTTGAAATTAAATGACACTACTTAAAGCTGAAAGAGAAAAAGAAAGCCACGACAATACAAGAGAGAATACCTGAGATTAAGATAGAAACCAGAAGAAAAATGTGAATTATGCCAATTTTGATAGCCATGCACAGAGAGAGAGAGAGAGAGAGAGAGAGATTTGTTGGTTGCAAGGAGAGAAATAGGCATAAGCTAAGCTGGGAGATAAGCTAGCTATGTGTGAATTCTTTTCTTTACTTGTTTGCACTTTGTGGGGGTTGTGGCAGTGGCTTGCCTTGTCAAAATTAGCTTAGCTCTTACCTCTAAATTGGTTTTTAAATGGATTTATTTTCCTTATGTTCTCTCCGTAGACGGCTCCTTTTTGGTGTCTTGATTGTGTATTTCCTAAGGATTCTATGTATACTACTTTCTCCCTGGGCCTAAAGATGAATGCTTGGATGACAATAACCGTACCCCATCACCAATATTTAATTCATTCAAACAAAAGAAAAGACGAAATCCACAAATATGTTCAAGTATAGAGCAGATATAATTCATGTTAATGATGAAGAAGTTAATTATTAGATAATTAATCCTCAAAAATGTAATTAAAAAGAATAAACTGACTGAAATTAAAGTCTTCACTCTTCATCGTTATCATGCATATGGGTGGGTGGTAGGAGCAGCACCCCATAGGGATTCCTTACAGAAAAAGGCAGTTCTTTTTTTTTTCTCTTTTCGAGAAAGGCAAGTATTGTATAGATGACAGATGAGATACTTCTTAAATGTGCTCTGAAAATTTTTAAGAGGTTTAGAATATCACATTAATTGAGGGGTAATTTGATAATTGCTGAAGTTGTTCAACTGAACTGCTTTTTGTTTTTTATCGGATATATAACATAATTAAATAATAAAATATTCAAAGGTGTAGCCGTTTACCCAACTTCAATTTTAAACATTCAGGATCCCACAATCTTGAAATTAAAACTTTATTCAGTAAAAGACAAATCAATATTTTTTTTCGGTTCATCAGTCATTTCAGCTGTTACTAAATGACCCCCTAACACGATTAAACAATAAAGATTTTTGAAAAAAAATATATTAATAACCTCCGATATATATCCATTTTTGCGGTTGAGAAGGGTAAGTTACCATATCAAGAAAATCGGATTTGGTAGTCACAAAATTGTGTTCATACTGTTTTTACAGTGATCATGTATGGACTAAATCTGCCCTCCCTTTGATGATTGCAAAATGATTTGGATTAGTTTTCAATGAAATGATGCCCCAAATTAGAAATGGCAATGGGTTAGAGTGAGCTGGGTCAGTTCTTGCATACCCCGTCCCTAACCCCAAACCCATGTAGAGCTTTGTTCGATTCTTAGCTTGGATTCCTACATTAACTGGAGGTAAGGGTGTCAATGGACCGGTTTTGGATTGGACTCTGTCCAGTCCAAAATCAATTTGAACGGATTAGACGGACCAACAAGACATATTGGATTGGACCAATCTGATCCAAAATATTTATTAGATTGGATTGGACCTGGTCTGTCCGTAACAAATTTATATTGGATTGGGTTAGATTAAGCCAATATCTAATCCATTGATATAAGATAAGAATATATATGTCAATGGACCGGATTTGGGTTGAAATCAATCTAAATCAAAATGAATTTGAACAGATTGGATGGTCCAGACAATGAATTGGACTAATCCAAATTGATCCAAAATATTTATTAGATTGGATTGGACCTAATCCATTTATAATAAACTCACATTGGACTGATCGGATTGGACCAAATCCAGTCCAATTGACACCCCTAACCGGAGGGGTTCCAACTCTAAAAGCTGATAACCAGAGTCGGAATCAAAATTTGAAAGTAGCTGACTGAAGGCTGCAAACAAGAGAGTTGGGGTATATAGAACTTCAAACGTTGTTTGACAGTAAAATAATCAATCACATTTTGGAAATACCTTTGAATGGTGATGACCAGGACGACAGGTTAATGTGGAAAAGAAATCACCAAAGGAATTTACATGGGTACCAAACTTTATTAAATATGCTTCCAAATGCTTCCAATGTCAATATAAGTGTTCATATGGAAGTTTTACAGAGGGGTGGTATCTTAACAAATGACAAAATCAAACCTAAGCTCAAGGAGGAAGAACAGATGTGCATTATGTGTAAACTCCAAGAAGAAACAACAAACCATCTTTTTTTCAATTGCCCCTATGCAAGGGCAATCTAGTGTCAGGCTCAAACAGGAAGGAATAAATCCTGAATCAGTTTCAAATCAGTCCATTCACATGGTGATAGAGGAATGGTGGAACCATACACCACAACTGCAAAAAGTAGAGAAACTTCAAGTCCTAGGACTAATTTGTATAATTCTAAGATTAATTTGGGACAACAAGAATAAGGGAATGTTTTAAAATAAAATAGTAAGTCCAGAACAATTAATTGCACAGATCCAGAAGGAGACTTCCATTTTAGTTTTGCAAAAACAAATAGTGTGGACCGAGGAAATTTTGTTGTACTCAATCTGTTCATAATTTTTCTCTCTTGCAAAAAAAAAAAAAGTCTGAAAGATGCATGTTTGAAGTAAAAACTCTACAAAGTCTAAAAGAAAATACTTATATGATATATAAAAAATATATATATATATATATATATATATATATATATATAACTTAATTGGGGCAGATTCGGGAATAAGGATGGCAATTTTTCCCATCCTCGACGGGTACTTAGCATCTCCTAAACTGATGGGGTTGAGGATAGGGATTGCTTTGGTGGGGTGGGGATGGGGAATGAGATCCCCACCCTGTCCAGACCCCGATTATATATATAATATTTAAAATATTATTTATATTTTAAATTTTTTATTTATTTTAAGTAAATTTATTTTTCAAAAAATAATATTTACTAAAAAAGTTCAGGGATTTAGGTCCTCACAGGAAACCCATCCTGCCATCCCTATCAGGAATCAGGGATGGAGGACAACTTTTATCCCCAATGGGGATTTATTACAAAATTAGAGTCGGAGATGAGAAATATGATCTCCATCCCGTTACCATTCCTATTCGGGGCTGAGGGTGGTAGACAAATACCACCCTTGCACGCTCCCAATACTGTACCAATACGACACCACAGCCACACATTGGGAACATCTCCCTTTGGTGACTGTCATGGTTAGTTGGGACAGTATTGTGAGCATTTGTTGGTTGCAGATCTGAACCCCCTACCCATCCCAATATGCATTGGCACCCCATAAAGCACGCCCCATAGGCCATCCCAACCGTGTATTGGAAACATCTGCCAATGACAACTTAAGGAGATGTTCACCAAGTGGGGCACCAAGGTAAACTCCACCCAGCCATCCATCTCTTGTCATCAAAGTTTTGGATTTCCCCAAAATCTGCCCCAATCAACAGAACGGCTAGATTGCCATCTCTGGCCAAAATTAGCAATTAGAGCGCAAATGAGATTACATCAAACTCAGCAACGAGCCAGTGATAAAGGGTCATAACGGCCAAGAAATTAAGTTCAAACACTTGGGAGCTATATAGGCCTTGGTCATGGCATGCTGACACCACAAACATCAAAGCTGGTGCATGATAGAGCCACACTTGAATGAGACCGGATCTGCTCCTCACACCTGGCGCCTCACACGCACATTCTACCATGCATTGGGAATATCTCCCGTACTTATTAATTATTATTCATGGGAGATGTTTCCAATTCATGGTGGATATGCATGTGAGGCACCTATTTGTGAGGAACAGATCCCGTCTCCACTTGAATTGGGATCTGCTCCTCACACAAGACGTCTTACATTGATCTCACAGGCACATCTTACCATGCATTGAGAACATCTCCTGTGTATAATGATGTATAAATATGGGAGATATCCCAAATGCATGGTAGGATGTTCTTGTGAGATGGTGTGAGGCACCCTGTGTGAGGAGCAGATCTGGTCTCGCCCCACTTGCATGCAGTAGGCACCAAGATAATATAAGGTACAGGCGAAAGTTTTAGGATTTTTGCCTAAAGAGTCCAAGAAAGAGGTGTATTGCCTTATGGAATTGATTGTGCCAAGAAACGTCAATAGGGCTGCAAGTCGGGCTGGGCTAGGTCGGGTTGAGGCCAACCCTAAGTTCTAAACCCCAATCCTAACCCTAACCCAACCCTAACTAAATTCCTTCAACCCTAACCCAACCCAACCTTCTTCCCATCCCTTAAAACTTCATAGAATTTCTCGATTTTAGATCTTAACTCAACTCTCACTACATATATTAATCCTATGTTTCATTAGTATTTGTTTGTTGACATTTTTTTTTTCTTTTGGTACAAAATTCAGAAAAACAAGTGTCAGAAATGACTATAGTTTATTATGAGTTATGACTTACTATAGATCTTTCTTAGGCGACAAATAACATAGAGGAGATGAAGAATAAAATTTTCAAAAAACATAAAATAATGTTATTTAAGGTTTTAGTCTTTCTTATTAGAATTAAGTGAAGCGATTATCTTAAAAGAAATACATGATACTATATGGTGGGGGCTATACAAATATCATGCATCTAAACGAATCACTGTATATGTATGTTATATATTACATATAACATATATTTATATATGACATGTACTATAGAGTCTGATTCGGGTTGGGTTGGGTTGGGTTGGCTAAGGGATCGACCCTAACCCAACCCGAAGTAAAGTCAGGTTCATGAATTTCAACCCTAACCCTAACCCGAACATCAACCCGACCCAACCCAATCCAACTGTTTCGGGTTGGGTTTAGGTGAACCCGGCCCAAGTTGCGGCCTTAGAAACGTGGTTGTTTTTATAACATCCACCGGGTAGATTCCTCTCAAGTCTGATCCTTCATTTAAACTAAGTCAAGTTCCACTTACAATCTGAGACACCATACTTGAGGCTGCATTTGGAAATGATGCAAATATGTAGTGCAAAATGGTCCATATAAATTGCAAAGTTGGGTTAGTTTTGCATTGACAATTTTACCTTCTTATCAAACAAACTTTTTAGTTGTAATAGATGCAAATATGAATTCCAATAAAGCATATGCCTTTTTTATCAAAAGCCCACTTGATGCAAATTTACTTCTTTTTTATTGATGTACTTTTACATCTTATTATAAATGTAAATATGTATTGGAAAATGTATTTTGCCATTTATCAATGCATAAATCTAATGTTGCCAAATACAGGCAAAAATGAACCAGAGTGCAAATTTACCCTGAACCAAGATTTACACTCCATTTGCATCGTTTCCAAACATCTAGTTGTCATTGATGGAAGATGTACCTAGTGGCGGGACAGCCTAGCATGCTACGCACCACTAGCAGAAAATTTCTTTGTTTTTTTTTTCATTTCTTTCCGACCAAATGTTTATAAGAAAATAAAAATCTTCCATTTTCTAATTCGTTTCTTTTTTCATCCATTTTTCTTTCGCTTTCTTATGTATACTTCAAAATCGGACTGGAAACATGACCATTTTGGCCACCTGTTTTTGGGTTAAATGGTCCGACTATTTAGAGGTGTAAATCAGGCCATGTTGGGTCGGCACAGCATGACCCGCATGCCGAGTCGGGCCACTCTTCCCTCCCTTGGGATACTTTGGGGGGTCGGCCCAGCACAACCACAGTTGCAGCCCATGCGGGCTCGTGCCGTGTCGTGGACTAGGCTGGTCCACAAGCCAATCGAGCCTTGGGCTAGGCCATGCCAAACCATGTTTTTTAAAAATTTTGAAAAAAAAAATAATGTAAATTTTAACATACATAAATAAAAAAAGGATCTTAAAATTTTATTTTATATGAATTTTGATGTATACAATTGTTTATATATGCAATAATAAAATGAAATAATATAATAAAATTTATATATAAATATATTATATACATATTATATATTTTATATTATATAATGTATAAATATATAATGGTCGTGCTGACACGTGGGCTGCAGGCAGCATGACCCGCTCAGTCATGGTAGCCCATGGACCTAAAACCCTAGGCCCAACATGGCCCATAGTCCATTGTGTTGGGCCGGCTCAAAATCATGTTGGGTCACTGTCAGGCATGAAACAGCCCGATTTACACCTCTACGATTGTCCAGTCCAACCTTGGGTTGGATGGTTTTTGGACCTAAAACCAGACCTATGCCCATGACCAATTCCTGAGTCAACCACTCCGACCATCTAGTCCTGTCCAATTTGGAAAACCATGCTCTTGGCGGAGTCTAAGGAGCGACACATAATTCCTTCACTGCTATGAAGGGCCATTCGGTCACACTGGAATTGGCTAAATTGAACAACTTATATATGTAGATATTTGATCAGTAACAAGAAAAATTATTAATAATAAGGAACTTTAATTACAAGAGAGGGGGAGTAAACTTTCTTAACTCCCCCATTTTATCCAAAACAAAATTACAAGATTAGAAATGAGCCTAAAAGAGAGATCCCCTATTCACCCCTTGCTTGAACCCATCAGCAAGTGAGTTAGCAGTTCTCTTTACCCAACTGAATTTTACCCCAACTTCCCTAGTCAGCCACTTAATTTTTTTCTTTTCATTGCTATAGATCCAGATGCCAGTGTTATCTTCCTTTAGCCATCTCACCACCACCTCTGAGTCATCTTCAAAAACCACTTTTCTCAAGTCTAACTCTCTTACTCTTTGGGAAATTTTCAGAACTGCAAGGATCTCAGCCCTAAGAAAATCTCTTTCTCCAATAAGGCATGAGAACATGGCTATAATAAGCCCCTCTTCATTCATGAATACTCCCCCTATACCAGAGAACTTTGGGTTCCTTAAACTACTTTCATAAAAATTTAGCTTCATGAATCCGTGTGGAGGAGATGTTCAAGAGAGAGAAGAAACCGTATTAACCTGGGCCGAATTAGTTATCTCTAACCGGTTCCTCATCAAGTCAACCAAGAAAAAAACTGTGAGTAGGTTCAGAGATTTCAGCCAGTGAGAATTAAACGACTTGTATATGACCTTGCTTTTACTCAATAAGTTATCAATGTGCCCATAACCTCCTTAAATGACCGAAGTTCTTAACAACTATACCATATAAATTTAAATATCTTATCCACTAAGAAGCAACATAAATAAGTTGTTCATTGAGTCCGGATATGGTATCTAAGTAATGGGGTGTTGAGAAACATAATTGCTTTTGGTTTTTGGAAACAAAAAAAAAAGACTGTCACATCAGCAAAACAATATAAATTTGCTGATGTTTTCGTTTTCAGAAATAAAAGCAACCATGTTGTTGAACGCTCCCTATTGTCATTCATGGGGAGATGCTTGTTAAGTATAGCTGTAGTGTCTAGTGTGCCCGGGTAAGGTCCTTGTGGAATTAAGATCTCCTCCCAACAAAAGCACCATCCTAACACGTCCCATTATGTTTGTAAAGCATGGCTGTAGTGTTTTGCTGCACCCTGCATCTCCAAGTCCAATTTTGCAGATGTGAACTCCATGCATGATGGGTCCCGGTGTTATGGTGAGAGATTTGTGAACACTGATCATGTTGGAATTTGTTGGGACATTTTTTGTTGGAAGAAGATCCAGGCTCTTAGTGGGTAGCAGATCGCAGCTCCGTTCAGTTCAGCAATTTGAGCCACGTTGCTGCAATGTGGACCCATTGACAACGAACATTCTTGGACCCATATAATATAATTTTTCTGGTTAGCCAAAATACAAGTAGACCCCTTACATAATGAATGCACGAGTGGCAATGCTCCCCTTCATTTGATTTGGTTTGGACCCATATAATCTCAAAAATGGACCCCCCCCCCAAAAAAAAAAAAAAAAGTGCTGTCATTTTCTAGCATAATTGTTAAAGGCCACATGCTGCAATGTGGCCCAAATTGCTAATTGCAGTTCAAATCAAAGCAAGCAGCATTAGCTTTGGCCTAGACGGCTCTATGAAGCAATTGGTCCCAGCTCTCATTCATTGGGTAAAACGGCCTTCTTCTAAACGAGAAATAGACATGCCAAATTAAGATCTCACGTAGCTATCCCCAGTGTTTGTCAGGGTTGTACCTTTCAGACTAAGACTCTTTTTGGGATGGCTTGGCTTTTTATTAGCTCAGCTTTGGTTCAGCTTCCTGCTTTGAAGATGCTAGTTGTACCAATGATCAACGATTCTATTGTTTTTGGGGTTTTTACTGTCCAGTTCATTCCAACAAATGTTTTAGCTCCACCATACAGTTGGGTAGGTGTCAGCTCAAATATGATGCCAAGCGGGTATTGGTGTTATAATGGAATTATTTGAAACTTTGAAATGTTGTAGGTCTTCAGTGGAATTCAGAATTTTGAGGTGGGGTACAGTCTACTTATCCCTTGTTTTTATCAAACGTTGCACTCAGGGATGTCAATGGGTCATCACTTCAACCTGACCCACTGACCCCACTAGTTTGAATTGTGGATGTCAACCAGTCATCACTCAGGGATGTCAACCAGCCTCTCATTTCAATGTCATTATGTCAACAGATCAGAGCAGACATTGGGCTAACCCAATCAAAATCTGGTCCGAAACCCGATTAAAAATTTGAATCAAATCCGAGGTCAAATCCACACAGTTTACCACATAACCCGACCCACTGACATCCCTAATTATCCCTAACTCAGATTATGGCTATATAACTGACTGTGGATCCAATGATGACACCCCATGTCAAGTCATAAAATACATGGGGCCTATAACCATCAATCTCTCACTGGGGGCCCTGTAATTCATGACCGGCATTGGATGCTATTATTGGTTCCACAGACCACCACAGCCAGGTTCAAGGTTCAAAAGGTTCTAAATATCGACACGGGCTGATATGTTAGTAGGGCATATCGGCCTGTGTCGGTGCTTCTTTTATATGTTTTACTTTTTTTTTTCAAAATTGGTTCAAAGGGGTCAGTTTAAGGCCCGATTACCCTCTGAACCAGTGGCTGACCCAATACAACCCATGTAGGGGCAGGAAGCCACCAGCACGATACATATAGGCCGATACAATACTTCAAACCTTACCGTTCAAAGTATCAGATACATATCAGTGTGTGTCAAGTTTTTAAACCCAGCTATAGGCCTAATACTAGGAGTTAAGGCATTTGAACACTTTTGAAAGTAATACCCTTCCTAGAGACGTCTTAGCAATTCTTTAATTTAAGAGTATCGCCCCCTTTAATTTAAGAGCATGAGCCCTTTGAACCTTGATTGAGTTCAGTCCAGCGTTGGTCAAAAAACATCAGCTCACGTTTTTTCTGTATATAGAACTTTAGAATTTACAATTAATAAAATCATTAGTTTTATATCTATATGAATTGATTGTGTATAAGTTCAAAATATGTGGTCAATTTTTTATTTTTTATATTGTTTTAGTTTTTTCTTTATTTTAATAATCGTGAATCAGACTCTAATTCGAAAAACCGAAAAAAAAAAAAAAGCAATAGGATTTAGAATTTAACCCACACCCCGTAGATCCAATTGGTTTTTAGATTGAATTCAGACTGGTAGAGGTTTTAGATGATCGGATCGAAGTTGGGAGTGGTTGGTTCCAATCCAAATCAGACCCAATTACAGACCTATATATGATAGCAAGATTGTTCTCTTGCAAACATTGCCTCTTCTATTAACTGAATCAAGCACTCCAAAAGTCAATTAGAGACGTGAAAAAAAAAAAACAAAAGAAAAAACAATATGAACATTGAAAGCTAGAACAAGCCAACTCTGTTACAACTTGAAAGCTTGAAGGTTTGGATGCAGGAAATGTTGCCACGAAAAGATGGTTATATACTGAAAAAATGAAGTTTCACCACCCCTTCAACACAACATACCATCTCTCTCTCTCTCTCTCTCTCTCTCTCTCCAGGGAACACAACAATTTACGCATAAATCTTGATCCCACCTTGTCATTTGTTAGTGCATTGTTGCCCGAGGAACTCGAGGCCTCACTGGTGTTTTTGAAGGACTAACTCTACATAAACCAACACACTCAAGAAAGTCAGTGGCATAGACAACCCAAGTATCCAACACATATTGAAAGAAATCATAGCTAGCTGCTCAGACACCATACCTAATAGGGAGGGATCCCAAAAGCAACCCACTGCAATTTAGTGCAACAATAGCGCTTTCTGCCTGTATCATGAAGAGGAAAATTTAGTCCAGGTGAACAAGGAAAGAAGTTCCAGTATATAAACAAAACAATTCTTTTACTGGATTCGGATTAGCTGAACGTATTAGCTGTGTAGCCAGCTGTGGAACCAATGACAATGCTCCACACCGGACATAAATTCCAAGAAAGAGTGACTGGCATGGGGTGTTGTCAACTTGTCATTGGTTCCACAGCCTGCTAAACAGCCATTACATTCAGCTAATCCGACCTTGTTTTCACCCTTGTTACTCAGGCCATTTGATAAGCAAAAGATTTCAGAAGAGAAAAAGATCAACAGCATAGAGAAGTGCCCAACATACTAATACAGCATAGCAGACTACAACACAACGAGCAGATTATTTTCCTCCAAAAACAACTAAGTTACAGCTCAGGAACCTTACCTATCTTGATTAACAACCCTAATCATAAAATGTTTTGAATCTTTGAAAACACTATTAAGAAAATGTTTTCACCCAATAGTCAGATAATTTTAGCCACCTTACTAAACGACGTACCTTTAAATAAACTCTGGATAAAAGATATGTCCCACCTTACTGCATGAATTTTGTTTTCCTCCTGCCAACTACAACCAAAGGAAATCTCTTTAAATCTTCTCACTCATTTCTGCAATCTTTAATGAAACATGGAAGAGTGACAATAGGTATGATTCACCCCGTCCTTTGGTTCTTTTCTGCTTCTTTATATCTCTATATTTTTACATAAATCCCCTTATCTATACTCATTCCTTCCTCATCTCTACCAATCAACTATACACGAGTCCCCTCACACCCACCCCAAGGGGATGAGTTCTACATTTCATCTATTCCCCAACCATCAATCTTGTAATTTCCCTTCAACCTTGTAATCTTGGAACCACCAAGATGTTTATGGGCAATACGTCCTTAAATTATTTTTTTAGGAGATTGATTGCAAAAATTGACTTCCCAAAGAAGAGAAGAAATTTGCTGGTGTGGAAAAATCTTCCAAAGAGGGTCACACCACCAAAATCCTAAAAGGAGAAGCCATTAAGGGGTACCTGTTACGGGAACAGGTAATCCATTAGTGGCGAGTGACTACTGCCTAAAAGGAGAACAAGGATGAGGAGGGAACTGCTGATGGGGAAAATAAGTAACGGTAGTAGTTTGGCAACAAGCATAAAGTCCATTATGTGAGATGCGAGGGAAAAAAACTATTTTCCCTAACCCTCATCCCTTCAAGTTGTATAAAAAATATAGCTTTCATCAGTAACAATAATGGTGTAAGACATGAAAAAGTCTCTCTTCTAGTTTCTGGCCATACTCTTGTTAGGGCTGCAACTTGAGCAGCTCAGGTTGAGCATTTGTAAAAATTTGAATGCTTGTATAAACTCCTCTAACCATGTACCCAATTTGTACTCTTAATTCTTATCTTATTGCATTGAAAATAGATCCAACTTCGTCCATCTTTATTTGATTTCCAAAATACATGGCTGATTTTTGGTTTTGAAAAATCAAAGCTGACAGCAGAACATGAATCTAACTAGGAGAATTAAAAGGATAAGCTATTTTCTTTAACCAAAAGTAGCAAGCAGAAAACAATCATACTGTTCAAGGCATCTTTGCACATAGAGAGCTTTGAAAATCAAAATAAGCTTTAGAGATTTGAAATAGAGGATTAAGCCATTTTCTTTAACCAAAAGTAGCAAGAAGAAGATAATCATTCTGGCCAAGAGCATGCTTCAATGCATCTCATAAAGAACTTGGAGAAGCAAAATGCTCTAGAATATGCTAAAGATGTTTCTTGGGAAAAAGTTATTTGTCTTTAGGGGAAAGGATTACATTGATAAGAACCACATTGGCCAATTTGCCCATGTACTTTATGTATATTTTTAAGATGCCGGTGAGTGTCAGCATAAAACTGGAAAACTTGATGAGGGATTTTTTATAGGAACCGGTAAGTGACAGCAGAATTTGGACACTTCCTTCAGGGTCCTTCACTTGTGCTTCCTTCTTTAAAACCCTAACTCAACCGGCTGTTCCTCTTGGATTGTAATTACCTGTTAAAGAAGTTTGGTGTCAACCTATCCCACTAAAGTTTAGGAGCTTTTGTTGGGAAGCTTTCCTAGAAAGAGTCAACAAAGGAGATTTGCTTCAAAGAAAGATACCCAATAGATGTTCATCTCCTCACTGCTGTGTTCTTTGTAAAGCTGATGGAGAGTCTGTTTACTACTTACTAGTATCCTTTTAATTTGAAAAATCTATTTGGGAATGGTTTACTTCTTTGTTTGGGTGCAGTTGGAATCCACCACTGAATGTGCAAAGCTTGTTTACTTCCTCTTCCTTCAATTAGCCAACAAAAAGATGAAAGGTTATGCGGAGATGTGTTTGGTCTGCTATTTGCTGGACTATATGGGAAGAAAGAAGTCAAGGATCTTTTCGGATAAGGAGATAAGTCTAGGAGTTGTAATACAAGTGATTCACATAAGGGTGATACATTGGCTGAAATCATTTGACTTGTTCACAAATTTTTCAGTGGATGATTTACTAAGAAAACGGAAAGAAATTGCTAGTTTAAGTCTCAGCTAAGAAGACCTTAAGCCCTTGGAATTCTCCACCTTAGGGTTATATTAAGCTGAATTTTGATGGTATAGTATGGGAAACCCAGGGCCTTCTGGTACTGGGAGAGTTCTAAGAAATGAAAAAGGGAATATAATAGCAATGTTCTCTGGCCCAATCGGAGTGGGAGATTCTCTGAGGGCCAAGGTACTAGCAGCCTTGGAAGGGGTACAAAGAGTTAAAGACCTGAATATTAATAAGCTGGTTATAGAAGGAGACTCTGAGACTGTAGTGAGATGGTTAAAGGAATACAACTCTAGGCTCCGGAACTACAGCAGCAGAAAGAGACAATTTAAGTGGCTGACCAAGGACATTGAAGTTAAATGCACATGGGTAAAGAGAAGTGCAAATTCTTTCGCAGATGGGTTAGCTAAGCAAGGGGTGAATAGGGTTTTATGTTTTATGGGCTCAGATGTAACTGTTTTTTCTTCTTTTTTGGGTGTTTGTTGACATCTTTGGGGAGTTAAAATAGTTTAGCTCCCCTCCTCTATAAGTTAAGATTTCTCCCTAAATGAAATTTCCTGTTATTGATCAAAAACAAATGAGGAACCAGGGAGGATAAAAAGGGCCATAGGGTGAATTGGGAAATGGTAAGTAGAAGCAAGAAGTTTGGTGGGTTAGGATTAGGCAATTTACAAAAGAGGAATGTAGCTTTACTGGGGAAGTGGCTTTGGAGATTACCTAGGGATAAGCATTGGGCAGCTAAGATAGTGGTCAGCATTCATGGGCTTGCAATTGATGGTTGAGATGTTGGATTATTGACCATGGCTACCAAAGCTTCCCCTTGGAATGCCATCCATGCTATCCTCCCCTCTTTCCTGCCATTTGTCAAGCATGCCTTTGTTCTAGCAATCCTATAAAATTTTGGGAACAGTTTGGGTGAGTAACCTCTCCTTGAAAGATAAATTCCCCTCTATTTTTGTCTTACAAAGATATAAAAATAAATGTGTCTTCTTTCTTGGATTCTCCAAATTCAAGAATTGACTTTGATTGGGATCTGAGATTGAAGGGGTGTCAGACATTTGGAACTGAATGATATATTGGACTTACTTCATATCCTTGACGGGGTCTATTTGGATTCCTCCAAACCTGATAGGACCCTTTCTTCATCTAGTGCCCATTCCTATGCTTCTTTTTTCAAGGCTCTTACTCAACTTTTTGATTCACTAGAGCCAAGGTTTAAAATGTTGATGTCAATGGAAATGTTGGTTACCCAAATATAGGACGTATGTCGGAAATGTCAGAAATGTTGAATAAAAATATTGTAAAAAGTACAGACATTGTGCAAATATTGTGAAATTTGTGGAAATATGCAATGATATTTTGTAAAATGATAAAAGAAGCATTAATACACCTTTCTAGAAGGTTATCCTACCTTTGTTTAAGTTTAATTTTGATTTATTATAAATTTTAATCAATAATAAGAATTAAGTCATATATTCATAATCATATCTATCATTTAATATTTTTATTATTATGCAGAAATAATTTATATTTGCACATCTTTTTATTCTAATAGGTAATTAGTTTGTTCTTTTGCTTTTATTTTTATTTAATTCCTTTTATGAATATTTTATTTCAAATATTAATATTTTTTTTGTGAAGAAATATTTTATGTAAATGCATATCTTTGTATTCTAAAAATTAATTTATTCCTTTTTTTGTTTTTAATTCTTTTCTTGAATATTATATTTCATATATTAATTTTATATTACTAGGAACTTATACAAGTAACTTATATAAATATATTATGCATTAATATTTTTAATACATATTTATTTATTTGTAGTACATTAATATAATATAGTAATATATTATATATTAATGTTTGATTGGCATTTCAGCGAAGGTCTAGAATATTACTATAGACCCTCATGTATTATAACATATTCAATTATTCTATTAAAGATTCATTTTAAGTGTTTTTTGTTGTGATGGTATATGGGTTTTTCATAGATCATAATGTATCATAGCAATACCTTTATTAAGTTACAACATATAACTTAAGTGTTAAGACAAAAAATCACTTTTCGTTTTTGAACGTAAAGGGTTCTATTCAAACACTCGACTCTGGAGTCTGAAACTTGAAGCACAAGAGGAGTGCATCTGATCGATTGAGCAAAGGAGAAAAAGAAATCTCCGTTTTGTTCCTCCTCTTTCATTCTTTTTTTCTTTTTTTTTTTTCTTCCCTTATTTTTCATTATGGAAGTGGGTTGGTGGGCACTACATACCTGAATGGAGATGAATCGAGATGAGAGCTTGAAGCTTCAATTTTTGGAGGCATAGTGTCTTGGTTTTTGCTCCAAAAAAAAAAAAAGTGTTTCAGTGCTCTAATGACAATAGAGCTGCCTGATTCGAACCCTAAATTTGCATTTTCACACCTCAAGCTTCCAGGTATGGAAACAGGAAACCGTTATTCTTTTTTCCCCTCCATAATCTCATCTCTTGATGCATGATTCCTTTCTTTATTTTGAGCTTGTCTTTTTAATTTTTCTTCATTTACTCTGTTTTTATATGAAACAAGAGCAGTGTCATCTGTGTTTAGAAATATTTTGACATGTCATTCAAAATATTAGGAAACAACTTTTTTTTTGTTTAGAAAGACTTAGTTGACGTTTGTCCAAAATATCGGAAATGTCAACTGAACTGACATAAGGTATTTTTCTCATTCATCTTAAAGTTTCTTTCAATGGGTCTCAACCATTTTCGAGATTTTGCGACATTTTAAACCATGATTGGGGCCACCTTTTCTGATAAAGGAGGTTTGGATCAATCCCATCCATCCAAGAGTTAGAGGTTTTTGCTGCAAAATCTTTCTAGAAAGAATTAATACCTATGATTTACTCCAAAGGAAAAGAACTAATTGGTGTTTATCCCCTTACTAGTGTGTTATATGTAAGGACAATGGAGAAACTTGCTTTCGCTTATTAATCTCTTGCCCCTTTGTAACTTTTATTTGTTTGCTTCTACTTTTTTGAGGTGGCCAAAGAAAAGGGGATGAATGTTATGGAGATGTGAAAGGGCTACAGTGAGCTGGACCATTTGGGAAGAGAAGAATGCAAGACTGTCTTCAGGCAAGGAAAGAACTAGAGAGGTTGTCATAGAAACAATCACAATGAGAGTGATACATTGGGTAAAGTCTATGGAGTTGTTTAATGCATTCTCAACAGGTAATATTATGAAAAATGGAAGGAAGTGGCCAGTTCTGACTGTCATAAGTCCAATACAAGCCCCATTTGGTCTCCACCAATGATTGACTACATCCAGCTAAACTTTGATGGGAGTAGTGCAGGTAACCTGGGTCTCTCTGGTATTTGAAGGGTGTTTGGAGATAGTGAAGGCATTGTTAGCCTATTTTTCAGACCCAATTCGACCAAGTGAGTCATTATGGGGTGAGGTTATGGCTGTCATGAAGGGACTCCAAAAAGCAAAGGACATGAATGTAAGGAAGCTGATTATAGAAGGTTTTGAAAGCTGGTAATGGAGTGGTTGCAAAGGGAAGAAAAAGGATTTCGGTTTTTTTTAACAATGAAAGAAGAGATTCCAGTGGCTGACACAAAATATGGATGTGAAATTCAGTTGGGTTAAAAGAACTGCAAATGGATTTGCTGATGCATTAGAAAAACAAGGGGTTGAAAGGAATCAATTGTTTTGGGCTCAATTGTAATAGCAAAATTCTTCTGTGGAGAGTTAAAAAGCAATGGTAAGGAGCAAGTCATTGACTCCAATAGTTGTTAGGGTAATACATTGGCTGAAAGCAACTGATATGCCCACAAATTTCTCAGCTGAGGGTATCCTAAGCGGATGGTCAATAGTGGCAAACTCTTCAGCTGCACAAAGTGTGGTTCAAGCCCTTTGGACACCTACAGCACAACAAAGAGTAAAATTGAACTTCGATGGAAGCCATTGGGCAACCCGGGGCCCTCTGGAGTTGGGGGAGTTTTTAGGGATGGGGAGGGCAGGATGCAAGCACCTTATTCCGGCCCAATAGGTGTGGGAGATTCCTTAAGGGCTGAAGATTGGCCAAGCAATGGGGATATCAAAACCTTGAGGTAGAGGGAGACTCTAAACTTCTAATAGGATGGCTGCAGACAAAAAGCTTGGGTGTATGGACCCTTAGACAACTTTTTTTTTTGGTATTTGGTGCTATGCACCATTAATAACTTCCCCCTGACCCCCTTATTTTCCCAAAGTTCTGGTTGCGGGATTTGATTCCGCGTCAATGCTGGAACAAACCAGCTAACACACCAACGAGCTAGCAAGGGATGTGGGAGTAATCTTCAAATGGTTAAGGAGATCGGCCAATTCTGTGGCTCACAATTTGGCAAAGCAGGGGACCTCAGGGAAAATTTGTTTTGGGCTGTATTGTAAGATTTGAGATTTGTATGGGGTCAACACTCATGCTCTAAGTGGTTGACATTCTTATATTTAACTGTCATGTTAATCAAAGTTGCCATTTCCAATCCAAAAAAGAATGTTTGTCCCTCCTAATCATTTTATAATTCTAACGAAATTCTGTTATTGACCAAAAAATACGCTAATCCTGTTCTGAAATTCTAATCAAAGTTACCATTTCCAATAAAAAAAGAATGTTTATCCCTCCTAATCATTTTCCATGGTTATAGGAACATCAAAGTGCAAAGCAAAAGGAGGATTTATTGACTAATCCTGTACCGAAAAGCATGATTAAGGCATACAAAATCTCCCTTGTTTACTTTTATTTACATTTAATGAACACAACCAACCATATATAGTGACATGGAGTCATTGAGCATCCTAACATAAAATGAAAATAATATCTGCCAACCATGATGAGCAGTGGAAACACAGACTGCAAAAGCTTACCACAGCAAACTCAACAAATGCTATGCGTGTTGAATGAACATTATCCCCCAAAAGCCTCAGGCGAGAAACCTATACATAAAAAATATACCATTTAAGAAAGCTTTCTTTACAGCTAACCAAGAAAATACCAGTTTTAGGGCATTGTGCTGACCTCACCACAAATTGATTCAAAGAAGTTCTTTACATCAGTTTGAGAAACCTGCGACCCATATACAGTTAAGTGATCAATGTATGCAAAAGCACAAGATCATAATGACCAAACAAAGTTGCATATTAAAGATTTTCAACTTGAAATGAAGTAGGGATGGCAATCTGACCCACCACCGTCGGGGCCTGCCCTGCCCTGCCCCAGCCGAGGTGGATTTTCTGAATATTGACCGGGGTCGGGATGGGTTTTAGGCAAACCCAAAATTATTCTGACCGATGATGGGACGGGGATAGTATTTATCCACCTTGCCCCGATCCTTGGCCCAATATACATATATATCAAAAGCTACTTGATAACTGATAAATCAAACCATTGGCATACCCTTTAAAAATTAAAACATAAAGATATTGAACTTTTGGAAGAATTTACCAAAAAAAAATCAAATTGGACAAGAGAAAAGTTCAAGTCCAACCTAAATGTGAATGAAACCATACTGCCCAGCAATGATTGGGGTGGGGTGGGGCAAATTCGGGGATCCCCGTTCCCCATGGAGACGGGGATGCAACTGGGATTTCCAGCCCGACTAGGGTACGGGATGGGTATGGGGTGGGGTATATGTGTTTGGGGCTGGGGACAGGATATGTAAAACCCGGCCCCACCCTGCCCCATTGCCATTCCTAAAAGCAAAAGCCATACTTAAATGTAAAAGTAGGAAAATACCTTCTTGTCAATATTTGTACAATAGACTGTCCGGGCGCACATTTCCCGTTCATCTTCTGACTGTATTCAATCACAATCATGAAAATAATCCATAAAAAAATGAACCTCCAAAGCTATATGTTTAACTATGTCAAATAAAAAAGAACCTGACCATCATGAAAGATAATAACTAAAAACATCAAAAATTTATTGAAGGTGTACCCTGGGAAGGAATGTAGGATTCACAGGCAGGATAGCAGTTTTTGAAGGTAAAACCCTGACAGGATAGTATCCTAGCATTGTCCCAGCAAGGTTCAGAGCTGCCCTTGCACCTTCTGCCAACAGATTCCACATTTAGGATGTGCAAAATCAGAAAGCAGGTTCCCAGCATAGACCAAACAAGAAAGATAAAATATTTATAGACCAAACAAGAAAGATAAAATATTTTCCTAGATAACTAACTTACGCTCATCAGCAAACTCTATAAATGCAAAGCGAAGAACCGAATGGGGATCGCCACAAACACGGCAATCAACTACCTGCAAAATAATCATTTCAAAAGTTGCACTCATTAGATTTATCATCCACCAGTGTAACATAGTGTATGGGTCTCGAAGCAACCATTTCATTTCTTCATTTTCTATTATAACTTAAGTATTCCCCTCTAAATAGAAAAATATATCCAAGAAAAAGGAACAAATAAAAAATAGTCTCAGCAATGATAATACCATATGGAATTTTATAAAAAATTTAATTAAAAGTTCAAGAGAGAGAAGCCAACTGACAGTAAAGGAGAGCATATATGTCATAAAGCCCCAGCTTGTTACAAATATATCCATCCTTAATTGACCTAAGCTTTTGGTGAAGATATCTGCTACTTGGTCTTTTGACTTAATATAAGGTGTTATAATATCCCCACTTGTCACTTCCTTTCTCACTAAGTGGCAATCAACTTCAATATGTTTAATTAATTCATGAAACACTGAGTTGGAGGCAATATGTGTAGCAAATTGGCTGTCACAAAACAGTTTAATAGGCTGACTAACTAGGATGTTTACTTCCTGAAGGAAATGTTTCAGCCAAAACAGCTCACAGGTAGCATGAGCCATTGCCCTGTATTCAGCCTCAGCACTACTCCTAGCAACCACACTTTGCTTTTTGCTCTTCCAAGTAATAAAGTTTCCACACAAAAAGGTATAGTAGCTTGTAGTAGATTTTTTGTCCATTGAGGACCCTGCCCCATCTGCATATAAATACCTTTCTAGGGACAAGTCTCCCCCTTTCTTATACAACAACCCTCGGGCTGGAGCACGCTTTGAATACCTTAACACTCTCATAACACCATCCCAATGAATAGTTGCAAGGTTTTGCACAAACTAGCTTAGCACTCCAACACTAAAGGAGATGTTAGGCCTACTGATAGTTAGGTAGATCCAATGTTTTAAAATGCGGAGGTGTGACGCAAGGAGTGAGGTGTAGATTGGAATGTAAGAGGCGTAAGCCTCCTTAAGAGGTAGGGGGTGAGGAGGAAGGGGAGGAGGAAGAAGAGGGAGGATGAAATGTGCAAAAGGCACACGAGGCATACGCCTCTAGCACGCTTCATGAAAAAGGCATATGAGGCATACGCCTCTTGCACCTGAGGTGTATGACCAGCACCTCTTGCACCTGAGGTGTATGCCTCAAAGGTACCAGCACCTTTGGCATACGTCTCAGGGCGTTTTGGGGGTGCCTTGCCTAGAAGCATGCCTCCAAGCGTACGCCTCGCACACCTTTTAAAACACTGAGTAGATCAGCTTGCCCACTAATTTCTTGTACCTTGTAGAATTTCCCAATAGCGCCCCTAACTGCTAGTCATCTTCACATTGGGATCCAAGTATCCATTGGCTTGGATCCCAACAACCTAGTTTCCTATAGTACATCCAAAACATACTTTCTTTGTGAAAGAGAGATTCCCCACTTCGACCAGGCAACCTCAATACCCAAAAAATACTTCAAGATCCCTAGGTCTTTGGTTTGAAAATGTTGTTGTAGGAATTGCTTCAGATCACTGATCCCATGTGCACCACTACCAATACGAACAATATAATCAACATAAAAAAGGCAACATGATATTCGCAAAAGAAGTATCCCTGTCAAGCACGAAGTAATCAGGACTACACTGTTTCAAACCAAAATCTTGCACCACACTATTGAATCTACCAAACCATGCCCATGGGGACTGCTTATCTAATTCCCCCCTAAGCAACATACCCAGGAGGTTGCTCCATAAACACTTCTTGAAAGTCACTATGGAGACAAGCATTTTTTATATCAAGCTGAAACAAGAACCAATCAAAATGACCAACTAAAGAGATGAGTACCCATATAGTGCCTATTTTAGCCACCAGTTAGGTCTGAATAATCCACCCCATAGGTTTGTGTATATCCCTTAGCAACAAAACAGGTTTTAAATCATTCAATGCTAGCATCTTGGTGGTGTTTAACTATATAGACCCATTGACAACCAACTACCTACTTCCCAAGGGACAAGGACATAAGATCCCAAGTATGGTTGGATTGAAGAGCATGAAATTCTTCATCCATCATCGTCTTCTAATCACGAGAGGAGAGGCTTCCTAGACAGAACATGGAAAAAACACAAAGGACAAAAGGGAAACAAACCATTAATATGAAAGAGATAAGTGAGCAAAGGAAACATGGCAAAAAATAGGATGATTTGTGCAAGCACGCATACCCTTACGGAGAGCAATAAGGAGATCAAGGTCGGATGGAGTGGGATCTATCTACGGTGAAGACATAGGTGGAGGGGTCAGATGTTGGAGTCAAAGTAAGTTAAGCAACTACTAATGATAATTCTAATTGTCAATCATGTCTTAAGTACACCTTGTAAACCGATGGCCGAAGAGACTCCTCAATAGTGGGTAAGGTAATAAATACATCACCAGAATCAAAAGGAAGAGGAATAGAAGGAAATGGTTCACACCCGGGAAATATGGTAAGTGCTCAAAGAAGATAATATCCAGAGCAATAAAGGCCTTAAGAAGAATAGAATAACGACATTTGCATCCTTTCTGAGTACAAGAGTAACCAAGGAAACGCATCTAATAGCTTTAGAGTCAAGTTTGTCATAGCTCGAACCTAGTTTATGAATAAAGCACATATAACCAAATACCCAAGGAGGAAGGGAAGAAGGAGAAATAAAAGTAAACAATAAAGAGAAATGAGACTCACCATTAAGAACTAAGGAAGGCATATGGTTTATGAGGAAGTAGGAGGTGAGAACTACATCACTCCAATAGGCTTTAGGAACAAACATTCGGATCAACAAAGCACAAGAAGTTTCAATCACATGACGAATCTATCGCTCTACCACTTCATTTTTCTAAGGGGTCTATAAATAGAAGGACTATATATTATACTGTGAGAATAAAAAAAAAAGAAAAAAAAAACTGAAATTGACTATGAAAATACTCCTTAGCATTGTCAAAACGGAACACCTTGATGCATACACCAAATTGATTTCTTATCATAGGATAAAAAGATAGAAAGTTAAAGAACAGTTATGAACATTCCTTCATTAAGTAAATCCATGTCATTCTTGAATGATCATCAATAAATGTTACAAAATATTTGAACCCAAACATCAGTATGAACCAAAGCAAAAGGAATTGAAACTTTCTTGTCTTCTCTAGGAAGAAAAGATACTCTATGATGCTTACTAAGTTGACACGACTCATACTCCAACTAAGTTACAAACTCTAAGGTGGGAACCAATGACTTCAAAACACACAATGAAGGATGGCCAAGACAACAATGCCACTAATGTGGGGTAAGAAAGGAATGGAGAGCCTTCTGTGGACCATGGTCATCCAAATAGTACAGTCCCCCTACTTCACAACCACCACCAATCGTCTTCCCATCTTGAGATCCTGAAACACATAGTAAGAAGGATTGAAGGTTATGGAACAATGAAGATATTGAGTAAGTTTACTCACAAAATAAGACCTAAAGGGAAACATAGGTACATAAAAACAGAATGTAAATTAAGGTTAGAACTGAGAGACACATAAGCAATATCAATAATGGAGGAAGAAGAAACATCAACTAAAGTGACAATCCAAGACGTTGAGGGAGGAGACATAGACATAAACATCTCTAAGGATCCAATCATATCGTTTGAGGCTCCATAATTAATTACCCAAGGTGAGGGTTTGGAACTAAAAGCAAGACAAGTTGTACTTGATTTCAGAAGTGGAGTAGTAGTAGTACCAAAAGAGATAGATTGGCTAAGCCTCTCATACTCCTCAAGTGTAATGGAGATTGTCTCTTTATCCTTGCCAACACTTAAAACAAACAAATCCTCAGTGATACCACAGCTAACAAGATCATCTCCCACCATAGCATGGCTAGCCCAAAAGGATGAAGGGCCATACAGGTCATAGTAAAAATTAACTGTGTGACCCTCTTTTCCACAATATTAAGCCACACCCACCACCACCCCTTACACCTCCTACTTCTCTCCCCACACCAATAGCCACCCCTAGGCCCATGGTCGAAACCTCTTGCAACACCTCCACCTCTTCCCCATACTCCTCAACCTCTGAAACCTCCTTTTGTCCAGAATAAAGTTGCTTGGCATGACCCCAATCTCCTTAGTAGTGTCTAGGAACATGAGATTCACACTTATATGGTTCTCCATGCCATTCCATAAGATAAGGAAATCATGATTTGAGTATTCTCTTGTGCCCATTTATTATATCCTTCTAATCCACTCTTCAATGGGCCCTCCTTAATGTACTTCAACTTACCTCTTCCAATGAGAGACACCTCAACCGACTTGGCCCATGGTGTATAGTTGGTACCATTGAGTTTTACTATAATTTATCTGTGAATTCATTAAGTCTGATTATACAACTATAACGGGTTTAGAGCTACCACTTCATGAGGCCATGAGTAAAAGGTAAGTTACTGATTTACTACTTCAATTTATCAAACAAGTATTGTACACCTAGTGTAGCACTAGTTACAGCTCAAGAAAAACACCAAAAAAATGTCACCACACTTCTGCTTAAATACAAAGGGAGCTTCACACACTTACCAATAATCCACCAACACACTACAAACCACAAGACATTCACCATATTGGAGGCTAATCACAACTGCAGTCAAGACATTCACGAAATTGCCCTTCTTCAAACTGCCAAATAGAGGGAGATTAGAAAACCATCACCGCACAAATAGCCACAACCCGAGGCATTAAAACCTCTTTTCCTAAGGGGTGATCAGTTCTTTTATGTCCTTTTTTGCTTTCTACAACGAGAGAATGTTCTCTATGTCTAGGGCACAAAAAAGTAGAGGCATGAAGTACCAGTCAATTTTTATTGCTTTGATGCCATGTGCCGAGGGAAGATGGAGAGAAAGAGAGAAGGGAGAACAGCCAAGAGAAGTCAAGACAAGAGAACTCTCTTAACAGTCAACCCGGGATTAATTTTCATTCATTGACACGGTCAAATTACAACTATGCCTCCAGTTAAATAAGTTATACATAGGAGAGAAAAAATAACAGGAGAAAGACAAATCTGCCCCTTCTGACTAACTTTAACGTTTGCAGCTAAATAAATCCTAAGCCATTTCCTATGGTAAATTATAACTTTTATAAAAGTTAATAATCTTTAGCTGTTCATTTTGGTGATGAATCATGAAACCAGATAGTTTTCTGTGGTAGTTGAGAACTACATAAAAGAATGGTATTGTAATTTGTAATTGCAAGTAACTGACACCAACATGCCACACCCAGTATAGGAATAGAAACATGAGTCAAAATACCATAATGCAAAGGAGCATAACTTGTCAAAGTGTGAAAAAATAACAAAGATTACAGTGACTCGTGGAGAATAAAGAAAAGGTGTTTAGTTATGATCATTAAGTGGTTGGGTATATCATGAATTTTGAATTTTTACTATTCTTTACCTAAAGAAACTTCTACAGATAAATGTAAAAGCTTATAATAGGCTGCCTAGGAAGGTTTGATAAAAAAGATGGAGTTTGTAACATATTTTAGATGTGTGATCATCTCAAATAAGCAAGGAGTGAAACATGCCCAACATACTTCCATCCAGGAAAGCCCATGCAACAATGGGTTGTCACGCTTTGGAATCTCACAACTGCTCCTACTCTCTTATGCCAACATGATACATTGAAACTTCAATATCTTTGTTTTTACTGTTTGTCATAGTAAATAAAAAGAAAAATCACTAAAACAGAAAAAAAGATAGATTCTCAGGAGATAAGGCATCACTAAGACCTGCAAACAAATACCCCCCACTCCACATCCCTATCAAGATACCAACACATGAAGCAAAGACAGCCAACAAGGCCTTCCCAACCATCTACCTAATCCCCCTGGAAAACAAGCAACCAAACCAAATCCAAGAAGCAAAAATCAATTCATGTTTCCTTACCACAACCTAACCAACCTCCAAAACAAAGAAAGACCCTCCCTCCAAGGTCTTTTTTCTAAAAGCATTACTATTAAGATGAATAAAACATACAGATTACTAAACATCGTACTCTCACCACCCTCCTCCAAACAAAAATTCATCCTACCAACCATTAAACACTACTTGCTGGATTCTACAAACGGATTTAAGGCTTTTCATTCCCTCTTCTATTTCCATGAAGACTTTCCTGGTATGGTACTCTCCTTCTATGAAAACAGCTCATTTTTTCCCAGTCTCTACTTCTTTGTCAACCACTTTCCTAGGATGCATTTGCTGGTCTACCTTAATAGTTTGATGAAAAGTTCCAGAAAAAACTCCAACCTCCTCCTTCACAGACTCTGACACCATATTATCCACATCTCCTAGGAAATTCTAAACAAAACATCATAGAAATCATAAGCTAGATAAGTTTTCTATTTCAGCATTTGAGATCCAAACTCTATTGGTGGTGTGGGGATTCACCACCACCTCATTTAAGACAGCAGACAAAATATTTGTGGCAGTTTCATGTTTGTTACAAGTCCTAGCACCACAATGATAATATGATATTATATTAATAGATAAAAAATTCTACATTAAGTTTTCGAGGTTTGGCTGCTTTAGAACCTATGTTCTTATAAAATCCACACCACCTTCTGCTGCAGTATCATGCAATTAGGGATGGATAACCTCTCTTAAGCTCATTATTCCGATTCCTATTCTTTCTCTTCTGCTTTATCCTACAACTCAGCCATCACCCAATTCCGGTCCCAGCTATCTGAGGTCTTGGCAGGGGTAGACTAGATATGGACCTACTTTGGCCCTTTTTTGCACAAAGTAGTCACTCTCTACAAATTCAGTCCAAGAACCAAACTGCAGTTCATTTTCAGAAGTTATAGAAAAGACTAAGCTAAAGAATGAATCAACAAGATGAGTAGAAAGGTGGGTTCAGAGAATGGCTTCAATCGATCCTCTTCCCTTGGAATATCTTCCTAAAATGGAATTAACAAATAGAATTCCCAATGACTGAAATTCATCACAAAGAAAATAGGAAATTATACCGCAAATGATATTAAGCGTAAATTAAATTAAAAACTGGCAAGTAATCGCAGGTATTCCTGTAAATTTTCCATAGGATAGATATTCCCTTTAATAAATTGACAAGTCACCTTAACTTTTCATTTTTAACATTAAAAAATAATAATTGATGGTCCTATGCACTTATTTGGTTTGAATATTACTAAGAATACAGGAGCAACAGCCTCAATGTCCTTGCCAATTTTCTTATACATAACATGAATTAATGGCCCTGCTCCACATTGGATCTCATAATAACAAATTAGTCCTTTCTATTCCAAGTGACCGGGTTATGTAATAAAATTGTAAACCAGAAAGTAGATCCAATATCTGGAAGCCTAGAGCATAAAACTATTACCTTATCCCCTTCACAGCCCAGGTGAATGCTAAACTGTTTAAACCCTCAAATCAATCCTATTCTTTAAAAATAAAATAAAATAACCATCTTAGATGGTCAAATTATCAAGTCATCCAACAGGGCTTTAGGATTTAAGTCTGTGGGTGCATGCAAAAATCTGGTCATTGCTGCTTAAAACCTTTACCAATAAATTCTGAATTCTAGCAATATGAATAACTCTGAAATTGAAAATTGATTTGGCAAGAACAAAATGCAGCATTCATCAACTTTTCAAGGAGTAGTAAGGTGGTTTCTACAGATCCCCCATCAAGATAATATTAAATCAAAGAACATCAGATTAGATCTTATGCCATAAAAAGGAACTGACATTATAATAGGCAATATCAGTGAAATCAAAAGCAAACCCTAAAGGGAACCAAATAACATCATCAACAGATATACAAAACAAAACAAGAATTGGCTATTCAGCTGATCTATTAATTCCCTACCAGACTTTTTTTTGACAAGAAGAATGAAATTTTATTAAATAAAAAAATAAAAGATACAGTCCAGTAGGTGACAAGGTGACACCTATCTTGCAAAACAAAACAGCTCTGACCTAAACAGCATGTACTGATACAAAACTGAGACAAATTACAATGACTGAATTTCAAGTACATTCCGAAATTCTCCCCCAAATTTGATCTACTAACTTGATCAAATTCTGGAAGCACCCAGACCTAATCTGCTACTAGATTCCCCACTAGAGCCACCAGAGTTAGAATTTTTTTGATTTATCTTCAAAAGTCCTTTTATTTCTTTCATTCCACAGAGTCCAGCATACGGCAAAGAGAATGCAGCTCCAAACTATCCTTGCTTTCCTGCTTCCCCCAAGTCTTGGCCAAGAAGAGAAAATTTCTGCTGTTGAAATTGGCTGACACACTCCTTGCCCAAAGAGGGATGAATAGAATTTCCAAATGATGTTTACTGTCTTACAAGAGAAGAATAGATGTCAAGCAGACTCTTCCCCCGAGCAGCACATAACATAGATGTTTGCTCGGCAGAATCCTCTATTTTTTAAGTGATCAACTGTTAGTATACTATCCAAGGCAACCAAGGCCACGACTTCACTACAATGTATAACCGAGGCCAAGAGAAGTATTACAGCAGAAGGTGTTACTAACTGCCTCAACTCAAGGTATTCATAGAAACTCTAAGACCTTAAAGAACAACGGGGTTCTCATCCTTGCTGGAGTCTGATTCCACTAGACCCAAATGTATATATTACTTATACCCCCATGATTCCTAATGAATAAAGATAAGCAAGAAATCCAAATGGACAAGTATTCTGAAATAATCCTTAAACAAGTTAAGCTTCCATTCCAAAGGAGGAAAATGGAAGCCAGAAAATACAGGGAACTGATGTTCACCAAGCCATTACAGAACCCGAAAAGAAATCTGATCAGTTAATCCATTATGATGCAATATTTAATAGGAGAGGACCAAACAAAAGACAAAGCAACACAAGAAATATCAGAAATCCTACAGCAGAATAAGCACATTCTCAAATGGCAAACCCCGCAGCAAAGCAACACAAGTGGAAAATTTTGCACTCACAGTTGGCGTTCTTTTGGGTAATAAAGCAACCCAAACATGTGAAGCAAATACAAACATTCAGCCTAGAACAGAATTTATCATTTTAGGAGAAAAAAAAAATCAGTCAGCAAGTAATAAACCATGCTTTAAGCGATTCATATAATTAGGTCTCCATTCAATAAGCAACAAATTTACCTGTCCACAAGTAGTAAACAATGCCGCAAGTCGTTCTTCGGTGACCTAATGTATCAGATTAAAGAAATCCCATTGATGCAAGCAATATATAAAAAATTAGAAAGGAAACGAAGTAAAAAAAGTAAAGGAAAAGGGGGGGGTGAATTTAAGGCTCAATTAAAAGAAGAGAGATTAAAATTTCTAATAAATATTTACTTACGTGCTGATCAATATCAGAAACATATACAGTTCGCCTAATGCTATCTTCTCTCTGAGCTCTAAGCGTCCTCCCATTCAACCTCCTCTTACCCTGACTGTAGTCGTTCTTTTTCTGGCAAATCCAGACCCAAAAAAAAATCAGAAAAGCAATCCACCTTCTTCAGAAATCGAGTTCAACATCAAATGAATAAAAGAATAGAAAACAAAATAAACGGAATGGACTAGTCGAATACTCTAAAAAGGTTAAAAAATAGAAATGGTTAAAACCCAAAAACTCCATAATTTCAACACTACAACACATTATCATGACTTTTCAAAGTAAAACTAGAAATTAACCAAAAAGAAATCTTCTTTACATAAATCTAATCCCCACCCTACCCCAAAAAAATAAAACTAAACAAAAAATTAACATGAAAAAAAAAGCAGGTTAACTCAAAGACCAAAGCTGAAAGTACCCTCCGGTAATTAGAATTCCCATCATCACTAAAATCCTTAATCACCCCAGATAAATTATTGGGCGGCGATTGAGAATGTGACAGACGATCGGGCGAGTAAGAAGACGGGAAGAATTCTTTGGCCGACGGGTTCAATTTCGAGAGCAAATCAACGAGCTGCCGAACGTCTCGTTGAAACTCAGACGCCGGAGCAGCAGCAGCAGTCGAGGAAGCGCGATGATGGATGAACTGATCATCCGAACCAATCGCATTCTCCGCAACAGCAGCCATGGTAATCAAACCAAAAATAAATGAAAAAAAAATAAACAAACTAAACGAAACCCAAATCTCCCTATATGCTATATCTCTCTACCTAACTTCTCTATCTCTGCACGCAAAATTAGGTTTTTTTGGATTTTCTAGGAGAATTGAAATGGAAAGGAAATGGATATGTGGATATCTTCTTATTTATTCCTTTCTCGTCTGCAATCTATAAATTGACTTTCATCAGGGAGAGTCAAAGAAATGAAAGGAAAAAAAAGGAAAGAAAAATGGAATTTGGGTTTGTCTTCGAGATTTTAATTCTACAAAGACAACTGGTTTACTGTTCTTCTTCTTCGCAACAAATGGCTTTAGCTTTGGTTCTGGTTTTGGCTCTGGCTTTGGCTTTGTCCTCTCTCTCTCTGAAACAAGAGTTGAAAGTCTACGAGCGTGGCGAATTAAATTAGCAAGGAAAGCGAACGGAAGCTAACGTACGCAGTGGTGGTTGTTACTTTCGTAACAAGGGAAATGTCACGTGTAACTACTGGAAAGGATTTGTTGGGATTATGATTTTTGTTGTTACTTCTCTGAGATCTCTCGGGTCTCGACGGACCAGTGGGCCACCCCTAAACCTACTCTGGTCTGGACGACCCATCGTTCTACAGCAAGTGGACCCATCATCGATGAATTGGCCAATCTTGGCCGTCCATCATATACATGGGTATATCATACGATCAAAATCTCGATACACGCATGTCTGATTCTTTGCCGACAAGGGAGAATGGCTGAACTGAATGATTTATTATTTTATCTTAACAGAAATAATATATCTAACAAATAATCCATCAGTTTCACCAACAAGTTGTTTGGGACATCACAGATGCGCATTGAGAATAATTCATGATTCATGGGGAGATGTTCCAATACATGGTAGAGGTGTATTATAGGTAACGATGTGAGGATAATTTGTGTTTAATGGGTCGGACCGGGTTGGGTTAAAATAATAACACTCCACACTAATCATAAAATAAAACACATGGGTATCACAATCATTCAACCTTGACTTTGGCCCCATAGATTTTATTATTGTTGTGGAGCATTGTTATTGGTTCCACACCCTGCTACACATAGAGGTATAAATCGAGTTGGCTCCTATTGAGTCAAGTCGTGCTTCCTACACTTTGGGGGTTGGCTCGATACAGTCACGGCAGCTTGTGTAGGCCCATGTCATGCTGCAGGTTGAATCTTGGGTCAAGTCATGTTTTCTAAAAATTTTGAAAAAAAAAAAGAAAAATTTAACACAAATTTTAAAATAGACAAAAAATTAAAAAAAAAACATCTTAAAACTTTATTTTATATGGATTTTGATGCATACAATTATTTATATGTGTGGTAATAAAATGAAAAATATATAATAAACTTGAAAATAAAATTATATATTAACATATTATATGGGTTGTGTCGACACGCAAGTCGTGGGCAGCACGACCTACTCGGTCATGCCGTGTCGTGCCAGCCCATGGACCTAAAACCCTAAGCCCAACATGGCTCGCAGCCTTATCATATTGGGTTATGCCAAGTCGCAAGCAGCACAACCCATTTTACACCTCTAGCTACAGCTACAACGTTCAATTACTCTGCATTCACCACTAAGGAGCTTACAACCTCTTTGACAACATATTCACTAAGGGCTTATTCTTTTGTCTACTTGAAAAGGATGTGGCTCATCTCAAAACACACCATACTAATGCCCCATTCGCTTTTTGGTAAGTCACTCAGATAATTTATTCGAATAAGTGTTTCCCATGAAGGACTTATCCAAGTAAGTGCATTTATCCATGTTATTTTATTTCCCATGTAAATAAGTCAATGACCATCTTAGCCATAAAAGTTCTATTATTAAAAGGGGCAATTTTGTCCCATCCAAGTATTACCAACTTTCTCCTAGATGGGAAAGTTAATTTACCCACCTAGGAGATGGGTATCACTTACCCGGGTATGTAATACCTAGGAAAATAAACGTTCATTGGTCCCCACATAAATCTGAAAAATGAACATGGGTTTCTTGGTCAATAGGAATCAAAATCCCATTGACCAACTTTCCCCCTCTCAAAATCTAAAAAAATAACACCCCCTGAGATGTTGTGTTCCAAAACCATGGCTCTAGTATACGTAGTGTGTTGTGTTCTAGGTTTAGACACAACAAATGATAAGTTTTACACTATGGTGTGTTTTTAATAGAATGTGTTAATGTGTTATAAATGTAAAATATAAATTGATACCAATGTCATTGATAAATTATCAATACATATATTTTCAAAATATCTGTTATACGTTAGTCACATTTTACAATTAATCAAAAGAAAATTTAAAACTAATTTATACAAATAAAGCATCATAAAAAATAATGCAAGTAAAAGTAATAAAAACAATTATTAAAAATTATTAAAGGTAATAAAAATAATTTATATAAATCAAATAAAAATCAATTGAACATAGTACAATATAATTTAATAATCAATTGAGCATAATAAAAATAATGATTAATTACTAAAAATCAAATATTAGAGCTAAAAGAGTCACAAATCTCTAAAAAAAAGAGAGAGATGATGGAAGCAATGGACCAATGGTCGACTGGTGAAAGCTGGGTTGAGAAGCATGGAATCAAATAGAAAATTGAGCATGGGTAGGGTTCGTTCCAAAACACGAGAAAATAGTAGTGTGGCTAGAAATGACATGATATTTTGTGTTCTTGAACGATCATAGCTCGTTTTGGAACTTGTCACATGCTTAAACAAATGTCATTTTGTGTATTATGTTTTAGAACGGATTGGGATGAGCATTTGCCATAGTACCTCCCAAATGGGTTCTAATAGGTAAGGATGTTAATGGGCTGGATTAAACGGTAAATCTGGCTTGACCCGATTGGGTTAGGGTTAGATATAGATATTCAGCTTTAAGATTGGGTTAGGGTTTTGATTCTTTAACCCAAGTTGGATTCATTTCAAATTCGGGTTTTGGCTAAATAGCCCTGCTCATTCATAATACCCCTAAATGTTATACATAGTATTCTTGTAACTTTTTGACCTCTAACTCAATAACCTTAAAGCTTATAACTTTTTTATACATTGTTTTTGGTTTTCTTCTCTTTTTTTTAAATAGAAAATGTGACACCTTAAGATCTATAAAACAAATTCCTAACTTAAATTAATGGCCTTTTAGGTTTTCAAAACGTGTTAGAAAATATAATTGAAATGTTAGAGGTCGGGTCGAAAAAGGGTCATGCTAGGGTTGAGGCAAACCTGTGCCAAGCCTGACCCATTGACATCTTACTAAGAGGTCTGGAGCACATCGATTTATGGTTTTCTGAGATGGTCTCCACATAGATAGCCTATTAGTTAGTCACTTGAAGAGTTGTCCAGTTCAATCTCTTTAAATAACTTGTTCAAAGTGCTTCAAGGTAATTAACTAACTTTGATAAATCTTCAATTGGGTCCTCCAAAACGACCCCTAAATAAAAGGCCACCTGAATTGGCCATGGGGGTATCAATCAACCGGTTTTGGATTAGATCCAATTTGATCCAAACCTTATCAAATCAGATTTGAACGGTCCATTATAATTATTGGATTGGGCCAATCTAAAATAAATTGGTCGATATTCTTATTAGTTTTGAATTGGACCTAAACTGAATTTCCAATAATCCGATCATGAGGCCAAACTTCTGTCCAATTTGAAATCGATCAAAACTAAATCTGACATAAAACCACTTTTATGAAAGTACTTTTACAAAAGCACTTTCGCGAAAACACTTTTATAAAAGTACTTACATGAAAGCACTTTTATAAAAGAATTTTTACGGAAGTACTTTTATAAAAGCATTTTTACAAAAGAGCTTTTATAAAATCGCTTCTACGAAAGTACTTTTACAAATCAAAAGCACTTACACGAAAGTACTGTTATAAAAGCACTTCTATGGAAGTACTTTTACGAATGCACTTTTAGTAAGTATTTTCATTAAAGTGTTTTTGTAAAAGCACTTTAATGAAAGTACTTTTGTGAAAGCACTTCTACGGAAGTGCTTTTTCAATGCCAAAAGGGTGTTTTTTGTAATTTTCAGATTTTCTTCATTTTAATATTTTTTGCAATTTTTATATGTTCTACTATTTTATAAATTTTTTGATATTTCATTCGGTTTGGATTGGATCTAATCCAGTCCATTTACATTTTAATGGATTGGATTGATTTAATTTGTATTGGATTGGGTCCAATCCATTTGTAAGTGGACTCACATTGGGCTAGATCAGGTTGGACCAAATCCAGTCCAATTGACACCTCTAATTTGGCCAGCCACATTGGAATTCACTTGTTTACTCAATAAGTTAGTGTACCACATGAAAGGCATCCATTTGGCAAAAAATTGTGGCATAAAGCAATGGTAAGATAAGTTGCCACTTGTATGATTCTCTCTATATATTTTCTTTAATTTATAACTTACCTACATTAAAGAAGGGGTTTTATTGATTCCTTATACACACATATAGTATAATAATATTTTGACTTTTAGGCTCAGTTTGAAAAGAGTACAAATATTTATATGTACAGTATAAATACAAGGTTTTGCACTCTACATATTTGTATTTGTATTCCTTCAAAATTGATCCTTTTGTGTACAATGAATTTGACTTGCTAGTTTAGTATACTGTATTAGATATTTAATTGGATAAAGAAGGAAACATTAAGAGTTGTGATTGATTGGAGCAGTTGAAAGTTCTGGTCTTTTTAAGTAGTCTTTTTTTTTGTAGAACCCAAGAAGTCATTTTCTTTTCTTTCCTCCTTGCCTTCCTATATTACACCACCTTAGGCTCAGTTTGGAAGGAGTACAAATGTAAATTTGTAGTGTAAAACCTTATATTTTGTATTATTTTGCATGTATTTATATTGTACATATTTACATTTGTACTCTTTCCAAACTGAGCCTTAGTTGAAAAAAATAAGGTTGCGTTTGATTGCAATGCAATTTTATTTGCACTAATACAAATGCATGAGAGTGCAAATGAAAAAAATGCAAATTCTCATTTAATTTTATCTAGGGTTTTATTTTATTCTGGTTTATGTCTTAATTCACTTCATTTGTACTGCAACCAAACAAAATAAGCTAAAATTTGAAACAAAAATAAGTCCTAATTTACACTCAAATCATTTGCACTGCCATGATTTTACATTAATACAAATTTGTTTGCATTGCAACCAAACACAGCCTAGGGGTTTAATGTGGACAATATGTAAATTTGACCATATTTATCATCAAGAGCTGATTTTAGGGCTGTAATTGGATCGAATTCAACAGCATCCAAAGTCTGATCCAATTGATGAACATTAAAAGCCAAATCCTATCCCAAACTCAATCGAATATGGGGATCTCGGATTGAATTTGAATCCTA